CCCCCCCCCCCCCCCAGTCCCCAGGAGCACCATGCAAGCCTCCTAAAGGCAAAAAACAGCCCATTTTTCGCTCATTTCCACCCTCCCCAGTCCCCAGCAGCACTCCTAAAGGCTCTGCACGGCCATTTCAGTGAAGGGGGAGGGGTTTCGCGGGGCAAAAATTCTGTATTCAGTGTATCAGATGCACCCATATTTTCACCCTCTTTTTTGAGGGAAAAAGGTGCGTCATATAGTCTGAAAAATACGGTAGATAGGTAGATAAGTCGATAGGTAGATAGATGCACACACAGAAAGAGAAAAAGAGAGAGAGTGAGAACGAGAGGAATAGAAAGATAAATGATAGGTAGGTAGATAGATACACACACAGAGAGAGAAAAAGAGAGACAGAGAGCGAGAGAGAAAGATGTATGTATGTATATGTATATGTATGTTTATATATACATGTGTGTTTGTGTGTGTGTGTATGAGAGAGGTAGGTAGATACAGAAGTAGAAGATAGAGAGATAGAGAGATGATAGATAGCTAAAATAGATAGAATAGATAGAATAGAATAGCTACAGATAGACAGACAGACAGGCAGATAATGGAGTTGGAAGGGACCTTGGAGGTCTTCTAGTCCAACCCCCTGCTTGAGCAGGAGACCTTCAAAGTCCCTTCTTCAACTCCGTTCTTCTGGTCTGCGTTGGGCCCGCTCCCTCAGGACGGCTTCCCCCATCCCTTCCAGGCCACAAGAGCTGTCCGGGGTGCTGAAATTGCCTGCCCATCCTAGCTATCCCAATAGGTCTCATCCCATTCTCCTCTTGAGGACCAACCAAGACTAAGAATGCCCCAAACATGAAGAGATAGACCCAGCTACAGACCCTGAAAGCTTGGAAAGATCATTCACGGCTTGCTCAGCCAACTGGAAGGCTGGGCTCCTCTTACCTTGCTACGTACAATATTTCCTCACGTGGGAAGACGCATCTTGTTTTATGCATGGCGCCAGAAGCAACATGCTGGCCAAGTTCTCCTGTGTGCGGAAAACACACTGGGATCCCCAGTGGCACAGAACCAAACTTGGAAATCAGATCTAGATGTTTGCACTGCCTAGAAGAAGAATCCAGCAATTACGCTTAGGTGATCAGATGAACAGAGTTAGAAGGGACCTTGTAGGTCATCTAGTCCAACCCCCCCNTGTAGTTGAAGAGGCTTTTATGTTATATGTGTTGTGTGTTTGTGTTTATCTGAAAATAAAAATTTTATTTTAAAAAAAGGAATATAAATCCATTCCATTCCCCACCATTCAGTCAGAACTGAAAAAGCTTCTTGGATGAGAAGTGAAATATTTTCAAGGAAAAAAACCAAGAAAGTTCAGTTGATTTTGGTAAGCACCTTTGGGGTACTGCAAGGAGTTTCAATAATGGCCCCAAAGGACTTTGAAAGCAAAGAAAACATCTTTTAAACACAGGCACATGGATGGGAACATTTGCTTGTCCACCTTTTACATCCGTTTCAGGTTAAAGGGAACCTTGCAAAACATATATACTCTCATTACAGATTCTGTTTATCTGGCTTTAAATATTGTGGAATTACTCCTCTCACTTCCTTAGAAATCATACCTTTAACTCTTAAGTACTAAGGCAAGCATCTCATTCTGTTGCAATTTGGATAGCAGAACGGTGGGATGAAAAGCACTAGCCTTTGTCCTGCTTTCAAGAACAATCATTCAACGTAATGACCAGAATCTATATAGCTTCTTTTGCAAATCTGTCCACTGCATTTATTTCAGTCTGCGAAAGGTTACACTTATATCTGAAAGTAAACAAAATTGTATTTTCTGTGATAAGGGGGCTATAAGTGGTTATTTTCCGCTTGTTACTATACAGCTTCGCTTCTTTTAAAACCCAGGTATTCAGTTGAGCTTCATTAATGTGGACATGTGATAAATTATAGTAATTAGCATTCTCCTTCAACAATCTGCCTCTTTTCTGTTGCACAGCTACGAATTGTTTCTCCCTTTGAACTTTACTGTAGTTAGAATTAGCAATCATTGGGATTTCTGCCCTGCTAACACAAGATAAGAGACACTGGGTTTTTAACAAGAGTCCTTTTAAATTAAGTAGCTTTTTGGACTAAGCACCTTTGTTTATCTCGTTTCACACGTAGTAATAGGTCTTGGCTTTCTCATTTAAATTGTGTTAAGCAAAGCCTAAAGATGGAATAACCAGTTTGTTTTTCTTTTTAACTAGTACATGCTTTTTTCCTGGGCTTACAGTTATTCTAGGGATAGAGTTTTTTGCAGAACCTCAAAGGAAGCAGATTGCCTACATTAATCCTTTTCCCCACCACTACCATCACCCCTGCCATGTGCTATGATCTCAACCCTGCTACTGACTCTGTTATTAAGAGTGAAAAATAACTGTTTTCACCCTACACTATGAGAAATTAGCAATTGTTGGTACAGTATTAGCAGTGGGTTTCACATTTCATTAGTATTGGTGCCCGTGCCCCTTCCATGCATGTGGCCGGCCTCAAAAACGTGATTATATAGGATGGCATAGAGCTGGGGCGGGTGAGCAAGCCCACCTGCAATTTCCGCTACCGGTTCGGGCGAACTGGTCTGAATCAGCATAATACCACCTCTGTACAGTATCTCAGCAGTTCTGAGATGAATTCTGTGAAGTATAAGTACCTTTCCCAAAGTTTACTGTCCTTTCCATCTTAAGGTGAAATGTGAAAATTCAGGGTTGTGAATGTTGTGAGTGCCCTTCCTTGATGTATCAATTAATTATGGGCATTTCTGTACTGTAGTATTTGCACCAGTTTCTTTTTTAAACTTTCCAGTTCCTAAAGAACACTGCAGGGCTTACTTACAATAATTGTCCAAATGATGAGAACAGTGGTAATTGAGAGAAAAGAGCTGGGCGTGGTGAGGGTTCCCAACACTGGGGGAATAAACCTTCCAGAAGCTCATTAGAGATGCTGTACACTTCAAGAAGAGAAGTGTAGCCTGCCTGGATTTCAATACAATGCTGTAAAGTCATCAATAAATCAGATTTTTTGATACAATAGTTGTAAGAACAGATCTAGAACTAACTCAGTCTGCTGCAAAGATACATGTCTATATGTACCTTTTATACAAGCAAACTTAACATTAGATGTAAGGAAACAGGCAGAAAGACGTTGGCTTGATGTCCATATATTCTGGGTATTCCTCAGATTGGTGCCTTCTACTTGATGGACAGTATAATCTAACATATCAGGAGGATATTGAGTTAGGGAAAAGTAAAACAAATCTCAAGCAAATAAAAAGACTTAGTTCCAGATAATGGTACTTTTGAGTGAGGAGATACAAATAACAGAGTTCTGACTCAGTGACAAGAAGACAGTAGACACCACTAGACATCTGTGGGACAGTTAGAAGATCTGCTGCTGCTGAATGACTAGGAGGTCCTAGCAGATACTGATAATACACTACTCTACTGGCCATGTTAGTGCTGCTAACTACCTTAATTCTTCCAAAAATCTACTGAAGTTTCTTGCTATCTATCTCGTCCTTCAAACAACATCTCGAATCAAGCATCTTGCTGTTCTCCATGTCACCTTAGCAGGTATTCCCTAGCTCCGTGATGGTGAACCTATGACACATGTGCCTGAGGTGGTACGCAGCACCCTCTCTGGGGGCACGTGAGCCATCACCCCAATTCAGCTCTGCTGCGCATGCGCACGCCCCTCCCACCGACCAGCTGATCTTCAGGGCTCTGCCGTGTGGGGGGCAGGGTGCATGCGGGTGGGTGCAGGTGCATGCATGAGCCATGCATTCATTACACTTTTTTGGGGGGGGGCACATGCGTGCTTTGGGCACTTGGTCCGGAAAAATTTATCTATCACTGCCCTAGCTTATTCATAGTTCGCTATTGTTGACAAAGAGATGTTAAACCATTATTATAAGCAATAGTATCTGTTATCAGGAAGAACCTATGGTAGGTATTCATTTTGAGAACAGCCATATGTGAAATGTAAAACATGGCCTTGCTCTAAGACGAAGCAAGAGAAAGAATATTCTTAATTATGTTATGGATCATCTGCAAACTATGTTTAACTAACTAACTAAATAGCATCCTGGAAGATCATGACTATGTTTACCTACAATACAAACGTTAAACTCTCGTGTTTTTCTTACCACAAAAATGACAGCCCATATGAAAAGTAACTCTTTTATCGTGTACATGAAACAGCATTGGAATATTATTTTACAATATATGTCCATATATCTGACAACAAAACGAGCTGTGAATCAACAAGAGTATCCTATTTGTTTTTGGCATACTCAGTCTCATTGTAGTATTTGCTTGCTTTACTGCAGACTTGGAATGTTGCTCAAGAAGAAGAAAGCAAAAACCACGAAATACATTTTTCATTTGCAGTTTGTTGAAATGCAGCAATGTGCCTGATCAGTATGAGAAAGAGACCTTCAGAAGGAAAGGAAACACATTGGCTTGCTGCACCCCAAGACAAATTCTATTTGTGGCGGGAAGGGGAGAAGGGTGCATATGCCGTTCATCACCCAGAAGGGTAGCCAGGAAAACTCTGGCCATCAGCCAAGAGAATCATACACTATTTAGTCCATGTGTGCTTCAGATGTGCGCTCCTAATGGAACAACCTGGAGAGTGGGCAGAGGTCCTATTGGAGGTGCGATATACTCCTCTTCTCTCAGCAAACGCAACAGAATGTTCTTTTTATTCCGAGGCCAATGGTAGACATGAGTATTCTGAAGCCAAGTAGGCACATGTTCCTGTGGAGAAGGAAAAGTCAAAAAGAGAGAGAAGAATGTGGGTAGGAAAGAAGAGAGAAAGAAACAATATATAATCCCTCCTGATTTTTGATAGCAGCTTTTGAGACATACTCACCATTAGAGTTACAGACTCCACATTTGACATGAGTTTCCCCAGTCTTCCTCGTATGTCTTTGCCAACAAACCAAGCAATTAATTAATTGCTGTGGATTTCTTTTCTGAACAATTTCAGTAATTCCTTGTGAAATCACTTGTATGAAGCATTTTCCCAGCATGTTTATTGCTTCTTACATCATTCAGCTTTAATGTTCTATAAATCTGCATTCCATAGTTATAATGTTGTGGTACAGTAGAGTCATGTACTGTAGCTTCCCTATAGCTCTGATAGCAAAGCTGCAGGAGGATCTTGACTAACCTACGCTAGATTATGGTAGTAACTTTTCCCAAGCAGATTAAGGAGAATTTATAAAGATGGTTCCTACATTTTCTTGTATGTGATATTACAAGGGGAATAGGAGGGCTTATTTTGTTATATTCCTACCCTGTTTCCCTGAAAATAAGACCTCCCTAGGTAATAAGCCCAATCAAGCTTTTGAGCGCATGCGCTAAAATAAGCCCTCCCCTGAAAATAAGCCCTCCCCAAAAATATTGCAACACAGCAGCAGCCATGAGGTGACCACACTCGCCGCCTCCTGCACCTCAAAAATAATAAGACCTCCCCAAAAGTAAGGCCAGGCCCTTATTTAGGGGGTTAAAAGAAAATAACACCCTGTGTTATTTTCGGGGAAACACGGTAATATATAGATTTATAGATACAACAGCCTATTTGAATATAGCAATAGCAGTTAGACTTATATACCGCTTCATAGGGCTCTTAGCCCTCTCTAAGCGGTTTACAGAGTCA